ACGGTTAGGGACCCCTCTGGGGCGGCCCCTACGGATTGCAGGTTGATCAGGATGCCGTTGGTGGAAAGCGGTGATGAGAGTCCTATCCACAATCCGACTAGCTGGCACCCAGGTCCTTTCCTCAGGTCCATAGCCCTCCCAGTCAATGAGGTACTGGAGACCCCTACCCCTCCGTCTGGACCGAAGCAGGCGGCGGACGGTGTAAACCAGACCACCATCGACGAGCCGTGGAGGAGGAGGACCAGGCGCAGCAGGGACCAGCGGACTCTCATGGATGGGCTTAATCTTAGACACATGGAAAGTGGGGTGCACCCTCAGGGAATTAGGCAGTTGGAGCCGGACAGCAGTTGGGCTAATCACTCTTATGATAGGGAATGGGCCAATGAACCGAGGTGCCAGCTTCTGCGACTCCACCCTGAGTGGCAGGTTCTTCGATGACAACCACACCCTTTGACCAACATGGTAGGTGGGAGCAGGAATTCTCCGACGGTTGGCCCCGGTAGTGTAGCTGGCAACGGATCTGAGGAGTGTGGCTCGGGCTTGTGACCAGGTGCGGCGACATCGACGGGCAAAAGCAAGTGCAGATGGGCAAGTAACCTCCTCTTCCTGGCTGGCAAATAGAGGAGGCTGGTATCCATAAACACATTGGAAAGGGGACATACCGATGGCAGAGCAGGTCAGAGAATTGTGTGCGTACTCCACCCATGTCAATTGCTGCGACCAGGAGTGGGGGTTGCGTGAAGTCATGCATCGCAGTGCCTTCTCGAGCTCCTGATTAGCCCGCTCTGACTGCCCATTGGATTGGGGATGGAATCCGGAAGTCAGACTGACTGTGGCTCCCAGCAGGTGACAGAACTCCTTCCAAAAAGCGGAGGAGAATTGTGGACCACGGTCAGAAACTACATCCTTTGGCAGTCCGTGGATCCGGAAGACGTGTTCCAGGACCACCTGGGCGGTCTCCTTGGCGGTTGGGAGCTTGGGGAGGGGAATGAAGTGTGCCATCTTGCTGAAACGGTCAACGATGGTGAGAATGACGGTCATGCCACTTGAAGGGGGCAGCCCCGTGACAAAGTCAAGGGCGATGTGAGACCAGGGACGTCTGGGCACAGGCAGGGGCTGCAGCAATCCGGCTGGGGGCTGGCAGGACGACTTGTGTTGGTTGCAGATGGGGCAGGCTTGGACGAATTCCCGTACATCCTTCCTCAGAGAGGGCCACCAGAACCTCTGGGCGAGCAGGTTGTAAGTGCGGGTGGAGCCAGGGTGACAAGCTAGGCGGGAGTCATGTCCCCACTGAACGACCTGGGACCTCAGGTCTTCGGGGACAAAAAGGCGGTCAGCTGGGCAAGTGCTGGGACCTGGCTGGTTACGGAGAGCCTCCAGCACCTGTTCCTCAACAGCCCAGGTCAGAGCTGCAACGATGCAGGGACTTGGCAGAATCGACACAGGGTCCTTGGAGGGGGTGTCATCCTTCTGGAATTGACGGGAGAGGGCGTCTGGCTTGGTGTTGCGTGATCCAGGCCGGTATGACAGAGTGAAATTAAACCTGGTGAAGAACAGGGCCCAGCGGGACTGCCTGGAGTTCAACCGTTTGGCCGTGCGGATGTACTCCAAGTTCTTATGATCGGTCCAAACGAGAAATGGAATGGTGGACCCCTCCAGCCAGTGACGCCACTCCTCCAAGGCAAGCTTCACAGCCAGCAGCTCACGGTTCCCTATGTCGTAATTGCACTCAGAGGGGGACAACCGACGTGAGAAAAAGGCACAGGGATGGAGCTTCCTATCCTCCGCAGCCCACTGAGAAATCACAGCACCAACTCCCACATCCGAGGCGTCCACCTCCACAATGAATTGCCGGTCCACATCAGGCATCTGGAGGATGGGAGCGGAGGTGAACCTCACCTTGAGGGTACTGAAGGCTTTGTCGGCTGCTGGGGTCCAGGTGAAGGGTTGCTTGGTGCTGGTTAGAGCAGTGAGAGGGGCAGCAACGGTACTGTAGTTCCGGATAAACTTCCTATAGAAGTTAGCAAACCCCAGAAACTGTTGCAGCTTCTTTCTGTTCTCCGGAACTGGCCATGAAGTGACTGCTGATACTTTGGCAGGATCCATTTGGATACTTCCTTCTGCCACTATGTACCCCAGGAAGGCCACTGTCTTGACGTGAAACTCACATTTCTCTGCCTTGGCGTAGAGGGAATTCTCCAGAAGACGATGAAGGACTTGCTGGACATGGCGGGTGTGTTCAGACAGGTTTCTGGAGTAGATTAAGATGTCATCCAGGTAAACGAAGACAAACTTGTTTAACATGTCCCGCAGTACATCATTCACTAGAGCCTGGAACACAGCAGGAGCATTGGTGAGGCCAAAAGGCATAACCAGATACTCGTAGTGGCCTGTTGGTGTATTGAATGCGGTTTTCCATTCATCTCCCTCCCGGATCCGCACTAGGTGGTAAGCGTTTCTGAGATCCAACTTGGTAAAAACAGTGGCTCCCTGGAGCAACTCAAAAGCAGAGGTGAGCAGAGGCAGAGGGTAACGGTTTTTCACTGTGATGTCGTTGAGTCCCCTGTAGTCGATGCAGGGGCGAAGAGATCCGTCCTTCTTCCCCACAAAGAAGAAGCCAGCACCAGCAGGAGATGAAGATGAACGGATTAATCCTGCGGACAGAGAGCCATTGATGTAGTCCTCCATGGACTTTCTTTCAGGAGCAGACAACGAATAAAGACGACCCTTTGGAGGAGCTGTTCCAGGGAGGAGGTCGATGGCACAGTCGTACGGTCGGTGAGGGGGCAGAGATGTGGCTCTTGCTTTGTTAAACACCTCTCTGAGACCATGGTAGCATTCTGGGACATTGGAGAGGTCAGGAGCGGAGTTAGTAGATACTGGCCGAGGGGGTAGTGCGGCAGCAAGCAGGCAGGTTCGGTGGCAGTCCTCTCCCCACTCCCTGATCACCCCGGTCACCCAGTCGAGCTGAGGGTTGTGCCGGCGGAGCCATGGGTAACCCAGGATGAGGGGTTGGCCTGGAGAGGGGAGCAGGTGAAACTGAATAGTTTCTTGATGGTTTCCGGACAGACCCATCGAGACCGGGGCCGTGACATGAGTGACCGATCCGAGTAAGTGTCCGTCCAGTGCCCGGGCAGGAATAGGAGGTGTCAAACGGAGGTTCTCCAGTCCCAGTTGGCGTGCCAGCTTGATGTCCATTATGTTGGCTTCGGCGCCAGAATCCACCAGAGCAGCCAGGGTGTGAGTTGAGTCAGAGAGGCGGAGGTGAACTTGCAGCAGGGGTTTGCGGTCGGAGGACTGGATGGTCATTGAACTCAACCGGACTCCCCCTATGCCCGGTGAGCTTCGGCCCTTTAAAGGGCAGGTTACCACACGATGTCCATCACCTCCACAATAGAGGCAGAGGTTTGAGGTGAAGCGGCGCTGGCGCTCTGCAGGAGTGAGAGAGGCTCGCCCAATCTCCATAGGCTCAGACTGATCAAGCTGACCTGGGTGAGTGGCAGTAGATGACAGGAGCCCAGTCGGATCTCTCCGAATGCCGGTAGTAGGTGGACCTTGGCGCCCCCTCTCACGACGACGGGTCTGTATCCTTCTGTCGATCCTGACAGTCAGTGCGATGGCTTCATCAAGAGTGGAAGGCAGTTCATGGGAGACCAACTCGTCCTTGATATAGTCAGCCAAACTATGGAAGAACGCGTCCACCAACGATGGTGTGTTCCAAGAACTTCGTCTAGCCAGGGTTCGGAAGTCGATGGAATGGTCTGCGACTGTACGTCTGCCTTGTCGAATACTGAACAGTTCACGAGACGCCTCTGCGGTGGGTGAATCCAGGTCAAACACCTTCAGCATCTCCTCAGCAAACAGGTCGAAGGTTGCACATGCGGGGGTTTGACGTTCGAACTCTGCTGTTCCCCAGAGTCGAGCTCGGCCCGTCAGGTGAGTGATGGCATACCCAACTTTAGCCCCCTCCGTGGCGAAGGTCCTTGGCTGCAAGGAGAACTGAAGTCGGCAGCTAGTCAGGAATGGCCGGACCTGGGTTGAATCGCCGTTGAACCGCTCGGGGTTTCCAATCTTGGGTTCCGGAGCAGCGGCTGCAATGACCGGGGCAGGTAACTCGGGGGCAGGGCTGGTGGGCAGACTGGCTGGGGTAAGGTTGGTGAGGAGTTGAATGATCATGGCGAGTTGTTGTTGCTGCTGCTGGAACTGCTGCTCATGCTCATCGGTTTCCATGTCGGGGAAAGTGTGCGCTGAGTCCATAATGGTCAGATCGTACTGTCACGGTTCAGACAGACGACCAGAGGACCACAATTGCGTCACACCAGAAAGTTTATTAAACTTAAGGGAAAAGGGAAGTAGGGAGTGAATGAAGGCTCCAGGGGTAACAGGGATCCCGTCCAATGCGCTGGGTCTGTGCCCCCCCCAGTGGCAGCGATGCGTCCTATGAAGCCGGTGGTGGGTGGTCCAGAAGTCCTGGGGGGGGGAGACACAGACACAACAGGGCGGAATGAAACAAGGCAGCAGTACAGTTCAAGGGAAATCCAAAATACGTAGTAGCAAGGCAGAAGGCTGGTCAGAGTTACCGGGATTGAAGAGTAGTCAGGAGTCGTAATGGCAGAAGCAGGTCTGGATCTCCTGAGGCAGAAGAGTATCCAAAAAACAGGCAGGTCCGGGGTCACAAAACCAGGGTGAGCCAGAAGCGCGAGCAAACAGGTTCCGGGTGTGAGCTTTGCAGACGATCTGACACCGGAGAGCTGAAAGACAGGGCCTTAAATACTGGGAGAGGTAGTGGGTAATGCAGCGCAGCTGGCAGAGTAATTAGAGCAGAGCAGAGCAGGGACAGGTGGAGCTAGTTAGGCTGAGTAGAGAGAGTGGTGAGCAGAGTGGAAGAAAATTAAGGTGGTAACCCGGTGGAGTGAGAGGCCCATGACAGTGACAATGTCTCAGAGCTAGTGTCTCCTCTTCCTGACACAAACAACAAAGCTTAGCAGAATAGTTATCACCACCATCATAGTCAGTGGAACTGAAAGCACAGCTAGGCTGACTCTGTCTCTGCCTGGCTCAGGTACCCAGCTGACATCCAGCTTGTTGTCCAGACTGAGGTGGGAGACAGTGCAGGTATAGTTGTGTCTCTCTCTCAGTTCCTCTGCAATGACCTCAGCTGGTACGCCCCATCTACATTGGGCAGCAGCTGCCCCCCTGTCAGCTCCTGTTCTGTTATTGGCTGGCCGTCAATCAGCAGGTTCAGGTTGATGTGTCGTGGTTAAAAACCAAACGCCAGACAGCTCACATGGAGCCCTCCAGACTTGGCTTTCTTTCTGAGTCTGATTATGGGACGCACTTTACGCATCACAATGTAATTTTCTCTCTCCAGGAAAATCTTCAATGTTTTTTATGCAAAGGGGAAGGTCAACGTGCGCATAAAGCATTTTCACATATTCTAGCTTCACCTCATCCCATGCTAACTGTGGGTTTCCAGTATAGTATGTATACTGAGTCATGTTATATCACATCCCATCTGCAATAATCTTATTGAAAGTGTCTCTGGACAGCATTAGGACCGGTTTATCATTGTTCAACATCTCACAGCCAACCATTCTCTGCTGTACATGAATACCTTCTGTGAAATTAAAGCGTTGTTTTAATTAACTGAAAATATTTGGCATGGGTCCCCAGATCCTCAAACAGTTCTACAGTTGCACCATCGAGAGCATCCTGACCGGTTGCATCACCGCCTGGTATGGCAACTGCTCGGCATCCGACCGTAAGGCGCTACAGTGGGTAGTGCGTACGGCCCAGTACATCACTGGAGCCAAGCTTCCTGCCATCTAGGACCTATATAATAGGCGGTGTCAGAGGAAGGCCCAAAAAATTGTCAAAGACTCCAGTCACCCAAGTCATAGACTGTTCTCTCTGCTACCGCACGGCAAGCGGTACCCGAGCGCCAAGTCTAGGTCCAAAAGGCTCCTTAACAGCTTCTACCCCCAAGCCATAAGACTGCTGAACAATTAATAAAATGGCCACCCGGACTATTTACACTGCTGCTACTCGCTGTTTATTATCTATGCATAGTCACTTTACCCCAACCTACATGTACAAATTACCTAGACTATCCTGTATCCCCCGCACATTGACTCGGTACCGGTACCCCCTGTATACAGTACATTCAGAAAGTATTCAGACCCTTTGATTTTTCCCACATTTTGTTAAGTTACAGACTTATTCTAAAACTGATTAAATTACTTTTTTTCTCTCATCTACACACAATACCCCATAATAGTAGTTTTTTTTACATTTTGGCAAATGTATTAAAAATAAAAAAACATAAATATCTTATTTACATAAGTATTCAGACCCTTTGCTATGAGACTTGAAATGTAGCTCAGGTGCATCCTATTTCCATTGATCATCCTTGAGATGTTTCTACAAACTTGATTGGAGTCCACCTGTGGTAAATTCAATTGATTGGATATGATTTGGAAAGACACACTATATAAGGTCCCACAGTTGACAGTGCATGTCAGAGCAAAAACCAAGCCATGAGGTTGAAGGAATTGTACCTAGTTGCTCCGAAACAGGATTTTGTCGAGGCACAGATCTGGGGAAGGGTAAAATGTGTGCAGCATTGAAGGTCCCCAAGAACACAGTGGCCTCCATCATTCTTAAATGGAAGAAGTTTGGAACCACCAAGACTCTTCCTAGAGCTGGCCGCCCGGCCAAACTGAGCAATCGGGGGAGAAGGGCACCATCCCTACGGTGAAGCATGGTGGTGGCAGCATCATGCTGTGGGGATGTTTTTCAGTGGCAGGGACTGGGAGACTAGTCCGGATCGAGGGAAAGATGAACGCAGCAAAGTACAGAGAGATCCTTGATGAAAGCGCTCAGGACCTCAGACTGGGGCGAAGGTTCACCTTCCAACAGGACAACGACCCTAATCACTCAGCAAAGACAACATAGGAGTGGCTTCGGGACAAGTCTCTGAAAGTTCTTGAGTGGCCCAGCCAGAGCCCAGCCTTGAACCCGATCGAACCTCTTTGGAGAGACCAGAAAATAGCTGTGCAGCAACGCTCCCCATCCAACCTGACAGAGCTTGAGATGATCTGCAGAGAAGAATGGGAGAAACTCCCAAATACAGGTGTGCCAAGCTTGTAGTGTCATACCCAAGAAGACTCAAGGCTGTAATCGCTGCCAAAGGTGCTTCAACAAAGTACTGAGTAAAGGTCTGAATACTTATGTAAATGTGATATTTCATTTTTAAAAAGAACAACAATTTACCAAAAATGTTTGAGTGTATAGTGTGGTAGATTGATGAGGAAAATCTATTTTAGAATAAGGCTGTAATGTAACATAATGTGGAAAAAGTCAGGGGTCTGAGTACTTTCCGTATGCACTGTGTGTATATATATATATATATTTACACTGAACAAAAATATAAACGCAACATGTAAAGTGTTGGTCCCATGTTTCATGAGCTGAAATAAAAGATCCCAGACATTTTTCCATACGTACAAAGCTTATTTCTCTCAAATTTTGGTTCCACAAATTTGTTTACATTGCCAAGATTTGTTTACATTGCCAATATAATCCATCCACCTAACAGGTGTGGCATATCAAGAAGCTGATTAAACAGCATGATCATTACACAGGTGCACCTAGTGCTGGGGACAATAAAATGTGCAGTTTTGTCACACAACACAATGCCACATGTCTCAAGTTTTTGAGGGAGCGTGCAATTGACATGCTGACTGCAGGAATGTCCATCAGAGCTGTTGCCAGATAGTTTATGGTAGAGAAATTAACATTAAATTGTCTCAAACTTCGTTTTAGAGATGTTTTTGAAGTATGTCCAACCGGGCCTCACAACCGCAAACCACCTGTATGGTGTTTGTGTGGGCGAGCGGTTTGCTGATATCAACGTTGTGATTCCTATGGTGGCGGTGGGGTTATGGTATGGGCAGGCATAAGCTACGGACAATGAACACAATTGCATTTTAATCGATGGCAATTTAAAGGTACAGAGATACCATGACAGATCCTGGAGGCCCATTGTCGTGCCATTCATCCGCCGCAATCACCTCATGTTTCAGCATGATAATGTACGGCCCCATGTCTCAAGGATCTGTACACAATTCCTGTCCCAGTTCTTCATGGCCTGCATACTCACCAGACATGTCAAACATTGATCCTGTTCGGGATGCTCTGGATCGACGTGTAACAACAGAGTGTTCCAGTTTCCCGCCAATATCCAGCAACTTCGCAGAGAGGAGTGGGACAACATTCCACAGGCCACAATGAACAGCCTGATCAACTCTATGCGAAGGAGATGTGTCGCGCTCCATGAGGCAAATGGTGGTCACACCAGATACTGACTGGTTTTCTGGATCCACGCCCCTACTTTTTTTAAAGGTATCTGTGACCAACAGATGCATATCTGTATTCCCAGTCATATGAAATCCATAGATTAGGGCCTAATGAATTTACACTGAACAAAAATATAAACACAAACATGGAACAATTTCTAAGACTTTACTGAGTTTACAGTTCATATAAGGAAAATCAGTTGATTTAAATAATTCATTAGGTTGTTGATTGTTTGCCTGTGGAATGTTGTCCTCTCCTTAAATGGCTAAAAACGTACAGTCTGTTGGGTGGCTTTAGGGATTAAATTGGTAAAAGTTAGGAGTGGCCCAGTCAGAGCCCTGACCTAAATCCAATCGAAAGTGTGTGGCATGATGACTTGAAGATTGCTGTCCATCAACGCTCCCTAAGGAACTTGAACGAGCTTGAACAGTTTTGTAAAGAATGGTCAAATATTGTCAAATCTAGGTGTGCAAAGTAGGTAGAGACCTATCCCAACGACAGCTGTAATTTCTGCAAAAGGTACTTCCACCAAGTACTAACTCGAGACTATTTCAGTGTTGTATTTTTTATGTATACTTTTTTTCAACAAAAGAAACTCCCCTTAAAAGTCCTTCTTTAAATGCATGAAACTCTGAGGCAACTGACAACAAAATGTGTGAAGAAAATGTTCAAGAGGTTATAGACTTTCTATTTTCACTCTTTATGCTATCGCACACACTCTGTCCACTTGTGACAACCAGCCCCATCGCGGGTTGGATGTCACACAGTATGGTATTGGTTGTCACAATGTTTGCTAGTAGCTTATTCCTTTTGTAAGAGGAAATGAAGCAATATTGCATACAGTCCTTAGAAATAGCTAGGTCCATTCTTTGATCAAACGATAACATATGACATTTTGCGTGTGTATGCGTGTTGTTTGCACATGCATGTGGTGCGTGCATGGGCGTGTGACAGAAGGAATATGTGTGGTGAGAGAGAGAGGCAACGAAGGGAGCACAAGCACAAAAGAGCTTGGGATTTTAATCAGTAATGTAGTGGGTAAAAAATCGGTGGGTAAACTCTGATCATCGCCGGTCACGGTGAAAAAAGTTCAGCTTCCTATACTTTTAATGCATTTTGTTGCAAAAGTTTTGTAAACTGTTGGGCCCAAAAAAAAGTGGGGTAAAACTGCGTTTATTTGCGTTTACCCTACACTACACCACTGGATTTATTATAATGGTGTTGAAATTATAATGGAGTTGAAGGTTGATAACCAGCCCCACATTCCATATAACAACCATCCCCAACAACAATGAACATCTGCCCAGATTTATTTACTGTACCTAAAAAATCATCACACCTTCCAGGAACTAAGTATTAATATATTCTTATGAGGAAACCAAAGCATACTTTGAACAGTCTGCAATATAAACTGTTTCTCAAACACTGCGGACATTTTTAATGTTTGGTTTAGTTTTTTATTCCTTTTGTCTTGCAGAGAGATGATGTTTCCCTCTGGCCTCTGTTGACTAAGGCATTTAGTGTTCAAACTATTTGTTTCTCAAATTGATGCTGCTTGGTAATAAGCATCCCCCTGGGCACAGACGTCAGTTCAACATCTAGTTTTTGATTTACATTTTGGGTTGTTTTTTCAACTAATGTAAAATCAATGTAAAAACTCAACAAAACATTTCAGGTTAAAGGTTTGGGGAAGAAAATACGAAATGCCCTTAAATTGCGGATTTTTGCAAATCCAATCAGTTTTCCACGTTGATTCAACATCATCACATTGATTATTTTTGGATGAAATTGCTGGCTGGAAAAATCTTGGACTAAATTGGGTAGATTGGCAGGTCGGCTCTGCTTGTGTATTCCCGTAGCGTGGCAGCTTTCTTTATCTGTTGAATATGGAGTCTGTCCTGTTTTGACATGGATGCGAAGGAGCACTGACGGAACCTCCTTAGTGAGGCCGCTCTCAGCCTTGACACGACTGGACTGGCATGGTCTCGCTCTCTGTGTGTGTGTTCATTCTCGCTACGCTCTGGTCGGTGGATCAGGAGGTGGTGTCGTTGTGTGTGTGTGTGTGGGCTCTCAACTATAAAAGCCCACGGCTGCCTCACCCCCTCCTCTCCTCTTCTCACCCCGTCCGCCCTGGGTCACACATGCCCATCCATCACAGCCCCCGCTCTCCCCCATCCTCTCTACCCTCCCTCCCACCCCTCTCCACCCTCTCCAGGGAACTCATAATGTTTTGGTGCCATTTTTCTCTCCCACTCAGTCCGGCTGTGGTCGGCTGTGATAGAAGTGACAGTGTGTGTCTTTAGAGTGTAATGAAGAGCCCTGCCTGTAGTGCCTGGCTCTATGAGCCATAGCAGCAGACACTCTACTCTACGTGCTTCTCTCTGCTCCTCACTCAGCAGTAGTGGCAGCATTGAAGTCGTTTCAGCTTAGATTGAGATGTACTTTAGTCTCCTCAAACAGCTATGTGTCTAACATCATAGTATCTACACTTCCTCTCTAAGTGAAGAGGCTCAGGCAGATGAGGAAATAAAAGCAGCCCTTCAGGCAGACAGTACACTGCTGTGAGTCGTAAAGCCGTGTGTTATACTGCTGCTGAGAGTTGAGACTGTAGCATACTGGTAGTAGCTTTCAATGCCTTCACAGTAAATATATACCTTTACTCTCCTCTCCTTCTCTCTATCTATGGAGAGAGAGAGCAGAGGAGAGAGCGGAGCGAGAGAGAGAGAGAGCAAGAGAGAGAGAAGAGGAGAGAGCAAGTCTGCTCCTCTCTCTATCTCATCTCTATTATCTCTCTCGATTTCTCTCTCTTCCCATTTTTCAATTTATAAGGGACTTTATTGGGCATGGGAACACATGTTACATTGCCAAAGCAAGGTTAAATAGATAATAACAAAAGTAAATAAACAAACAAAGTTTTGACAGTACACCATTACACTCCACAAAAGTTCCAAAAGAATAAAGACATTTCCAAATGTTCATATTATGTGCAAATAGTTAAAGTACAACAAGGGAAAATAAATTATTAAACAAAATATGGGTTGTATTAACAAGGTGTTGTTCTTCGCTGGGTTGCCATTTTCTTGTTGGCAACAGGTACAAAAATCTTGGCACACTGTGGTATTTCACCATTAGATATGGGAACGTTGATCAAAATTGGATTTGTTTCAAATTCTTGGGAGTGGTTCGGTGTAATCTGGAGGGAAATATGTTGTCTTTCTTGGTTTAAATATGGTCATACATTGGCGAGGTTAGGAAGTGCAGCTCGTTCCACCTCATTTTTTGGTGGGCATGTGGTGCACCATTAGGCTGTCTTCTCTTGAGAGCCAAGGTCTGCCTACGCTGGCTTTCTCCAATAGCAATGCTCACTGAGTCTGTTACTAGTCAAATCTTCTTAGAAACAGGCAAGGTTGCACGTCCTCCTCCAGCGACTCGGCCGTCAGGTGAGTATGCATACCCACTTAGCCCCTCGTGGCAAGGTCTTGTGCAAGGAGAACTGAAGTCGGCAGCTAGTCAGGAATGGCCGGACCTGGGTTGAATCGCCGTTGAACCGTTCGGGGTTTCCAATCTTGGGTTCCGGAGCAGCGGCTGCAATGACCGGGGCAGGTAACTCGGGGGCAGGGCTGGTGGGCAGACTGGCTGGGGTAAGGTTGGTGAGGAGTTGAATGATCATGGCGAGTTGTTGTTGCTGCTGCTGGAACTGCTGCTCATGCTCATCGGTTTCCATGTCGGGGAAAGTGTGCGCTGAGTCCATAATGGTCAGATCGTACTGTCACGGTTCAGACAGACGACCAGAGGACCACAATTGCGTCACACCAGAAAGTTTATTAAACTTAAGGGAAAAGGGAAGTAGGGAGTGAATGAAGGCTCCAGGGGTAACAGGGATCCCGTCCAATGCGCTGGGTCTGTGCCCCCCCCAGTGGCAGCGATGCGTCCTATGAAGCCGGTGGTGGGTGGTCCAGAAGTCCTGGGGGGGGGGAGACACAGACACAACAGGGCGGAATGAAACAAGGCAGCAGTACAGTTCAAGGGAAATCCAAAATACGTAGTAGCAAGGCAGAAGGCTGGTCAGAGTTACCGGGATTGAAGAGTAGTCAGGAGTCGTAATGGCAGAAGCAGGTCTGGATCTCCTGAGGCAGAAGAGTATCCAAAAAAACAGGCAGGTCCGGGGTCACAAAACCAGGGTGAGCCAGAAGCGCGAGCAAACAGGTTCCGGGTGTGAGCTTTGCAGACGATCTGACACCGGAGAGCTGAAAGACAGGGCCTTAAATACTGGGAGAGGTAGTGGGTAATGCAGCGCAGCTGGCAGAGTAATTAGAGCAGAGCAGAGCAGGGACAGGTGGAGCTAGTTAGGCTGAGTAGAGAGAGTGGTGAGCAGAGTGGAAGAAAATTAAGGTGGTAACCCGGTGGAGTGAGAGGCCCATGACAGTGACAATGTCTCAGAGCTAGTGTCTCCTCTTCCTGACACAAACAACAAAGCTTAGCAGAATAGTTATCACCACCATCATAGTCAGTGGAACTGAAAGCACAGCTAGGCTGACTCTGTCTCTGCCTGGCTCAGGTACCCAGCTGACATCCAGCTTGTTGTCCAGACTGAGGTGGGAGACAGTGCAGGTATAGTTGTGTCTCTCTCTCAGTTCCTCTGCAATGACCTCAGCTGGTACGCCCCATCTACATTGGGCAGCAGCTGCCCCCCTGTCAGCTCCTGTTCTGTTATTGGCTGGCCGTCAATCAGCAGGTTCAGGTTGATGTGTCGTGGTTAAAAACCAAACGCCAGACAGCTCACATGGAGCCCTCCAGACTTGGCTTTCTTTCTGAGTCTGATTATGGGACGCACTTTACGCATCACAATGTAATTTTCTCTCTCCAGGAAAATCTTCAATGTTTTTTATGCAAAGGGGAAGGTCAACGTGCGCATAAAGCATTTTCACATATTCTAGCTTCACCTCATCCCATGCTAACTGTGGGTTTCCAGTATAGTATGTATACTGAGTCATGTTATATCACATCCCATCTGCAATAATCTTATTGAAAGTGTCTCTGGACAGCATTAGGACCGGTTTATCATTGTTCAACATCTCACAGCCAACCATTCTCTGCTGTACATGAATACCTTCTGTGAAATTAAAGCGTTGTTTTAATTAACTGAAAATATTTGGCATGGGTCCCCAGATCCTCAAACAGTTCTACAGTTGCACCATCGAGAGCATCCTGACCGGTTGCATCACCGCCTGGTATGGCAACTGCTCGGCATCCGACCGTAAGGCGCTACAGTGGGTAGTGCGTACGGCCCAGTACATCACTGGAGCCAAGCTTCCTGCCATCTAGGACCTATATAATAGGCGGTGGTCAGAGGAAGGCCCAAAAAATTGTCAAAGACTCCAGTCACCCAAGTCATAGACTGTTCTCTCTGCTACCGCACGGCAAGCGGTACCCGAGCGCCAAGTCTAGGTCCAAAAGGCTCCTTAACAGCTTCTACCCCCAAGCCATAAGACTGCTGAACAATTAATAAAATGGCCACCCGGACTATTTACACTGCTGCTACTCGCTGTTTATTATCTATGCATAGTCACTTTACCCCAACCTACATGTACAAATTACCTAGACTATCCTGTATCCCCGCACATTGACTCGGTACCGGTACCCCCTGTATACAGTACATTCAGAAAGTATTCAGACCCTTTGATTTTTCCCACATTTTGTTAAGTTACAGACTTATTCTAAAACTGATTAAATTACTTTTTTTCTCTCATCTACACACAATACCCCATAATAGTAGTTTTTTTACATTTTGGCAAATGTATTAAAAATAAAAAAACATAAATATCTTATTTACATAAGTATTCAGACCCTTTGCTATGAGACTTGAAATGTAGCTCAGGTGCATCCTATTTCCATTGATCATCCTTGAGATGTTTCTACAACTTGATTGGAGTCCACCTGTGGTAAATTCAATTGATTGGATATGATTTGGAAAGACACACTATATAAGGTCCCACAGTTGACAGTGCATGTCAGAGCAAAAACCAAGCCATGAGGTTGAAGGAATTGTACCTAGTGCTCCGAAACAGGATTTTGTCGAGGCACAGATCTGGGGAAGGGTAAAATGTGTGCAGCATTGAAGGTCCCCAAGAACACAGTGGCCTCCATCATTCTTAAATGGAAGAAGTTTGGAACCACCAAGACTCTTCCTAGAGCTGGCCGCCCGGCCAAACTGAGCAATCGGGGGAGAAGGGCACCATCCCTACGGTGAAGCATGGTGGTGGCAGCATCATGCTGTGGGGATGTTTTTCAGTGGCAGGGACTGGGAGACTAGTCAGGATCGAGGGAAAGATGAACGCAGCAAAGTACAGAGAGATCCTTGATGAAAGCGCTCAGGACCTCAGACTGGGGCGAAGGTTCACCTTCCAACAGGACAACGACCCTAATCACTCAGCAAAGACAACATAGGAGTGGCTTCGGGACAAGTCTCTGAAAGTTCTTGAGTGGCCCAGCCAGAGCCCAGCCTTGAACCCGATCGAACCTCTTTGGAGAGACCAGAAAATAGCTGTGCAGCAACGCTCCCCATCCAACCTGACAGAGCTTGAGATGATCTGCAGAGAAGAATGGGAGAAACTCCCAAATACAGGTGTGCCAAGCTTGTAGTGTCATACCCAAGAAGACTCAAGGCTGTAATCGCTGCCAAAGGTGCTTCAACAAAGTACTGAGTAAAGGGTCTGAATACTTATGTAAATGTGATATTTCATTTTTAAAAAGAACAACAATTTACCAAAAATGTTTGAGTGTATAGTGTGTAGATTGATGAGGAAAATCTATTTTAGAATAAGGCTGTAATGTAACATAATGTGGAAAAAGTCAAGGGGTCTGAGTACTTTCCGTATGCACTGTGTGTATATATATATATATATTTACACTGAACAAAAATATAAACGCAACATGTAAAGTGTTGGTCCCATGTTTCATGAGCTGAAATAAAAGATCCCAGACATTTTCCATACGTACAAAGCTTATTTCTCTCAAATTTTGTTCCACAAATTTGTTTACATTGCCAAGATTTGTTTACATTGCCAATATAATCCATCCACCTAACAGGTGTGGCATATCAAGAAGCTGATTAAACAGCATGATCATTACACAGGTGCACCTAGTGCTGGGGACAATAAAATGTGCAGTTTTGTCACACAACACAATGCCACAATGTCTCAAGTTTTGAGGGAGCGTGCAATTGACATGCTGACTGCAGGAATGTCCATCAGAGCTGTTGCCAGATAGTTTATGGTAGAGAAATTAACATTAAATTGTCTCAAACTTCGTTTTAGAGATGTTTTTGAAGTATGTCCAACCGGGCCTCACAACCGCAAACCACCTGTATGGTGTTGTGTGGGCGAGCGGTTTGCTGATATCAACGTTGTGATTCCTATGGTGGCGGTGGGGTTATGGTATGGGCAGGCATAAGCTACGGACAATGAACACAATTGCATTTTATCGATGGCAATTTAAAGGTACAGAGATACCATGACGAGATCCTGGAGGCCCATTGTCGTGCCATTCATCCGCCGCAATCACCTCATGTTTCAGCATGATAATGTACGGCCCCATGTCTCAAGGATCTGTACACAATTCCTGTCCCAGTTCTTCCATGGCCTGCATACTCACCAGACATGTCAAACATTGATCCTGTTCGGGATGCTCTGGATCGACGTGTACAACAGAGTGTTCCAGTTCCCGCCAATATCCAGCAACTTCGCAGAGAGGAGTGGGACAACATTCCACAGGCCACAATGAACAGCCTGATCAACTCTATGCGAAGGAGATGTGTCGCGCTCCATGAGGCAAATGGTGGTCACACCAGATACTGACTGGTTTTCTGATCCACGCCCCTACTTTTTTTAAAGGTATCTGTGACCAACAGATGCATATCTGTATTCCCAGTCATATGAAATCCATAGATTAGGGCCTAATGAATTTACACTGAACAAAAATATAAACACAACATGGAACAATTTCTAAGACTTTACTGAGTTACAGTTCATATAAGGAAAATCAGTTGATTTAAATAAATTCATTAGGTTGTTGATTGTTTCCTGTGGAATGTTGTCCTCTCCTTAAATGGCTAAAAACGTACAGTCTGTTGGGTGCTTTAGGGATTAAATTGGTAAAAGTTAGGAGTGGCCCAGTCAGAGCCCTGACCTAAATCCAATCGAAAGTGTGTGGCATGATGACTTGAAGATTGCTGTCCATCAACGCTCCCTAAGGAACTTGACAGAGCTTGAACAGTTTTGTAAAGAATGGTCAAATATTGTCAAATCTAGGTGTGCAAAGTAGGTAGAGACCTATCCCAACAGACAGCTGTAATTTCTGCAAAAGGTACTTCCACCAAGTAATAACTCGAGACTATTTCAGTGTTGTATTTTTTATGTATACTTTTTTTCAACAAAAAGAAACTCCCCTTAAAAGTCCTTCTTTAAATGCATGAAACTCTGAGGCACTGACAACAAAATGTGAAGAAAAGTTCAAGAGGTTATAGACTTTCTATTTTCACTCTTTATGCTATCGCACACACTCTGTCCACTTGTGACAACCAGCCCCATCGCGGGGTTGGATGTCACACAGTATGGTATTGGTTGTCACAATGTTTGCTAGTAGCTTATTCCTTTTGTAAGAGGAAATGAAGCAATATTGCATACAGTCTTAGAAATAGCTAGGTCATTCTTTGATCAAACGATAACATATGACATTTTGCGTGTGTATGCGTGTGTTTGCACATGCATGTGTGCGTGCATGGGCGTGTGACAGAAGGAATATGTGTGTGAGAGAGAGAGGCAACGAAGGGAGCACAAGCACAAAAGAGCTTGGGATTTAATCAGTAATGTAGTGGTAAAAAATCGGTGGGTAAACTCTGATCGCCGGTCACGGTGAAAAAAGTTCAGCTTCCTATACTTTTAATGCATTTTGTTGCAAAAGTTTTGTAAACTGTTGGGCCCAAAAAAAAGTGGGTAAACTGCGTTTATTTGCGTTTACCCTACACTACACCACTGGATTTATTATAATGGTGTTGAAATTATAATGGAGTTGAAGGTGATAACCAGCCCCACATTCCATATAACAACCATCCCCAACAACAATGAACAATCTGCCCAGATTATTTACTGTACCTAAAAATCATCACACCTTCCAGGAACTAAGTATTAATATATTCTTATGATGGAAACAAAGCATACCTTTGAACAGTCTGCAATATAAACTGTTTCTCAAACACTGCGGACATTTTTAATGTTTGGTTTAGTTTTTTATTCCTTTTGTCTTGCAGAGAGATGATGTTCCCTCTGGCCTCTGTTGACTAAGGCATTTAGTGTTTCAAACTATTTGTTTCTCAAATATGATGCTGCTTGGTAATAAGCATCCCCCTGGGCACAGACGTCAGTTCAACATCTAGTTTTGATTTACATTTGGTTGTTTTTTCAACTAATGTAAAATCAATGTAAAATCAACAAAACATTTCAGGTTAAAGGTTTGGGGAAGAAAATACGAAATGCCCTTAAATTGCGGAATTTTTGCAAATCCAATCAGTTTTCCACGTTGATTCAACATCATCACATTGATTATTTTGGATGAAATTGCATGGCTGGAAAAATCTTGGACTAAATTGGGTAGATTGGCAGGTCGGCTCTGCTTGTGTATTCCCGTAGCGTGGCAGCTTTCTTTATCTGTTGAATATGGAGTCTGTCTGTTTTGACATGGAGGCGAAGGAGCACTGACGGAACCTCCTTAGTGAGCCGCTCTCAGCTTGACACGACTGGACTGCATGGTCTCGCTCTCTGTGTGTGTGTTCATTCTCGCTACGCTCTGGTCGGTGGATCAGGAGGTGGTGTCGTTGTGTGTGTGTGTGGGCTCTCAACTATAAAAGCCCACGGCTGCCTCACCCCCTCCTCTCCTCTTCTCACCCCGTCCGCCTGGGTCACACAGCCATCCATCACAGCCCCGCTCTCCCCCATCC